CGTAATAGGAATGTGGGTCATTCTATAAAAATATACCCTGCTTTCAGGCACAAGGTGTAAAGTTTGATCCGAACAGGCTCAGTGAGTTTCAATGAATCAAGAAAACTGATTGTCAAGACTCTTTGCCAATCATCTAGGGGCATAATTTTGGGAAGATTGATTAAAACTACTTATCATTTTAAGATTTCTTAAGAATATGGATCTCTTTTATGTATTTGAATTTCATTTTATTTTTTATCATTTTAATAAAAGTGATATATTTGATGCATTTTCATGATATTTTTTTTTGTGTGAATCATCATTATTTACTTTTACCTTTTTATACCTTTTTTCATATCTATTCTTTGATTCCAAATAATGAATATTCAAATAGTCATGATGATAATTCATGATTCGATTTTGAAAATATCATTAATGATGATCTAATTGATGATTGAGATTGTTGATTCATTAATATTGCTGAATAAAAAAAAGATAAATCTGATGAAAAGTTTTGAAAGTGATGCAACATATGATCTTTGTAATTATTCATTCATAAGTCTACTCTTGATCAATAAATATTCTTCATTGAGAGTATTCATGTTCGAGATGAAAAATGACCATCTTTCTTTTATCATTCACAAAAAAAAAAGTAAAATTATCTTTTGTTACCCCATTTAAGCCTTTTGAAATTTTCTTTTAAGGAATCCTAGCCAAGGATTATCCCCACATTGGGGGTAAATTTTGAGAAGCTTGTTTATTCTTAGTGATTTTAAAGACAAAACTTTTTTGTGCTCAAATTTTTCTTGAAAAATGATGAAAAAAAACAAAAAAAACCAAAAAAGAAGAAATTAATGGGGTAACATATTAAAATGCTCTACATGAAAAAGTGATCATTGGTTTGATAGCCTTTCAAATATAATTTGAGCTTATTTTGTCCATTTCTTTCATAACCCTTTACCTTAGCTTACGTTATATGCCTTAAAAGTTCATTTTGATTGAATGAAAATACTCAAATCAGAGAATCATAAATCTAATTAAGGCAAATTTACCATTGGATTGCTTGAGTTTTGATCAAAGTATCATTAATAGATCAAAAAGGAAAATGAAAAAAAAGATGAGAAAAAATATGCAAAAAATATGAAAAAAATAAAACAAACGAAAAGCCAAAAAAAAAGAGAGAAAAAAGGAATACTTAAACTGAAAACCTGAAAGGGTAGTTTAAGTAAAGATGAAAACTTGAAAAAATAACTTCATGTGAGGATCCCAAGAATGAAGATGATGATTGGCTCAAAGATTGAATATATCAATCAAATGTGTTTTGAAAAAAAATTTTGAGTTGGAATTTAAAATTATATGAATAATCATTATTCTGGATGTTGATATTCAATTTACATAATCACAACATTTTGCTTTCATTCATCTTTGAGTTGTTCTTAATTTTATTTTATTTTATAATGAAATCCCATTTTTTTATTATTTACCTAGTGTACATCCTCTGAATAAATTGAAAAAAGGTATTATGTTTGTCAAAAATTTGAATGATGATAAATAAATGAATGACAATGTTCATAAAAATTTTTCAAGATGAGAGAAATGAAAGAAGCTTGAGAAAATAATTTAAAAAAGGGCAAACAAGGTGACCCAAATGAAATTTAATGATAGATTGATTGACATGACCTGTGAGTTGTGACCAAATGAGGAGAATGACATGGATTAATCGACAGAATTTGTTCTAGGACTGTTAGTATTGAAAAGTTAAGAAGGAATGATGGAGTCTTGAGAACCTTATTGTCATGATTAGAATTTCATGACATTGATTTAGTGACATTTGCATTACATACATTGTGATAATTGCATTTACATCATTGTTGCGGCATATTTGTATCGTGTAGAGAACATTTGAATTATAGTAGGACATTGTCATTTGTAACATTTAGTGAAAATATGGACTGTGGCATTTGTTGCATTTAGAAAGCATTTGCATTATTAGCATGACATTTGTTTTTGTTGGGAGAAAATATTTGATTTTTGATTCCTCGAATGAGGAAGATCTTTCATTTTTGGACAAGAAAATTTTTAAAATTTTTAAAGTTTTAGAGCCTTGGTTTAAATGAACTTTTTGAATGTGAATCCCAAAAGTTTTCGGATGAAAATTTTTGAAAATTTTAACTGTGAAATGTTAAAGTTCTTGCAGGTGAATTTGTAATTTTCGATGGGAATATCAAAGTTTTTCAAATAAAAATCTTGGACTGTTGAATGTGAATCTATAAAATTTTTGAATCTTTGAATTTTGGAAATGAGCCTTGAAACTTTTGTTATTAATCCATGAACTTGTCTATATGAAACTTTAAATCTTTTGAATGTGAATTTTTCAAATATAGTTTCCAAATCTTTACAAACTTGAAAATTCTTGTGAAGAAAATTCTTGTGAACCTAAAATTTTTACAAACCTAAAACTCTTGCGAAAATTGAAATTCTTATAAACTTTTGCGAATTTTGATTTTTTGTGAATTTTGAAATCTTTGCGAATTTTTTTTTGCGAAACTTAGAATATTGAGATCTTTCAACTTCTGTTAGGGAACCTTGCAAATTTGAATTTCTATATTGTGACTTTTTGAATTTCAAGCTAAAAATTTTGAATTTTATTTTTTTATCCTATGATTCAATCCCGGTTACTTATTTTAATTTTGGCTCAATTCAGATTATTTTATATTTCTGACTCACGATTCAATTTCGATCACTTATTTTTATCTTAGTTTAGTTCAGATCATTTTATTTTTTAATTTGTTGTTCAATCCTAATCATCTATTTTGATATCAACTCAATCCAGATCATTTTATTTTTTTAACCCGTGATTTAATCTTGATCATCCATTTTGATCTTAACTCAATCTAAATCATTTTATTTTTTGTTTCGCAATTCAATCTTGATCATTTTTATTTCGATACACTTAGATCATTTTTTAAATCTCGATTTTTAGACCTGAACAAAATAAATGTTTTTTATCTTTATGTAATTCTTGTTTCATAAAAAATACACAAAAAAAATAACTATAAACAACTCATTTTATCCAAAATTTTTTTCGAAATTAAAAATAAACTTTAATCGTAAATTGGGTCTAATTGAAAAAAATTACTTTTATCTTTTTTTTTTATTTAATTTTACTTTTGTCTCAAAAAAATAAAAAAAAAATTAATGAAAGATGGTGAAAATAATATTAAGAGATTTTTTGAATTTAATTTTAGAATTAATTCACGTTAAAATTAAATCAAATAAAATTATAAATTTAAAGAAAATTGATTTAGCATAAACTTTTTTATAAATATGTGATTAAAACAGGGGGAAAATTATTCAAAAAACAATCCCAAGTAACACCATTTCAGCCTGCACAACCAATTTCCAGACACACAGCAACCAATTTCCAGAGAACAAGCTTGCGCAGCCTGCAATCAAGACCAAGGAATTGCATAAAACGCAAAACTGAGGCAGTGGGCATTCACCTCAGAACTAAGACAAGTCAACAAGGATTCAATTCTTAGAGGTGGCAGCCACTAAAAGCCCCAAACAAACTGAAACAGAAAACTTGAACCAGCCCACAATCAAAGCAAACAAAGCACGTAAAAACAATTCCCAATACAAAAGAAGCTCAGTAGAAACAGAGGCAGAACACAGAGGAAAGGGAAGATTCCTGGTCATTTCTTCTGGAGGTAATGGTGGTTGTGATCTCCATACGGCGGTGATAGGCGATGATACTTGAGATTTTTATTTTTATTTTTTGCAATTAGGTTTTGGTGTTCTTGAACTACAAAAATCCGAAAGAAGAGGGACTTGACAAAGGCATGAAAAATAAAGAGAAGATGCTGAAACGACTGTGTTCCACGTTGAGGAGAAAGGCTAACCCACGTGAAACCCATAGGTGACCCAACCCATTTTACCTAGTTTTTTTTTTCTTTTTATTTACTTATTTATCTATTCTGTTTTATTTGTCCTTTTAATCCTTTTTTTTTATTAATTTGAAAAAAGAAAAGAATTCTTACATGATTTATTATCTAATGTTTTATTTGCATGTTTTTATTTTATATTAATTGCATGACATATTATTATTATATGGTAGTTTTGCATGATGATTTTTGTCTATATTGATTTTTTTTTTCAAATTTAGAGAAAAGTTTCAAAAAAATTATTTTTCAATCTTACCAAATTATTGGAGGATCAAAATTTCGAATTAAATCTTATCAAATTATTGAAATATTTAATAAATTTTTTCAAAATAAAATTTTATAAATGATTATTAAATAAAATCTTATCAAATTATTAAGAGATCTGTATCAAAGTAAAATTTTATCAAACTATTAAAATATTTTACTAATTATTTTTTAAATAAAATATATTAATGAATCTCACAATGAAACTTTTTCAGGGTGAGATACTAGTTTTTATGAATACTCTTGAAGTAAGTGAATTATTTTAAATTACTATCAAATTGTTAGAGTAATTTAAGGATAAATTTTTAATATTTAATATTTTGGTAAATCATAAATATGATTAAGGCTTGAATAATTTGAAATTAAACTGGTATTATCTTTTGGATAGACGCTTGAGGGTGTTATAATTTTTTTATGCGTAACTACACTTTTCAAACCTAAAATCTGATTTCGCGGACTAAAATTTATTATTTAAAAATACTTAAATTAATTTTGAGATTCTTTTTTAAATGAGATAAATTATGTTAGGTGACCAATCATACTTAGATAAAAAAGATTAATAACTCCTAAAATTTATGTTTAACGGTAAATTTATAAATCTATATGTTACGACACATATTATACCTCATATTATATGATGATATTTTTGTTACATTTGCAATATGATTTTATATATCTACTCATTCATTACATTTCATTGAGCACAACTTCATTGAAAATTCATTTTTTAACTCTAACAAATTCTGCTCCACTAATTTGTTCAACATCAATTTTTTTCTTGTAAATTAAATCACAAATATATCTAAAGATAGATTTGTACAGCTAATTGAAGTCGGTCACATTGTGATACAACCCAATCATATGCATGCAATGAACTGAGGGACAACATTCAAAGAAACAAGGAATGAAATTGCTTCAAATAACTTCAGATTCTCATACCCAAGTTTTGTTTCTGAAAAATGCATATGCAATTACAAGACTTGAATTGGGTCTTCCCGGTGGAGTTTAGTTAAACAAAAACCTGGGTTTTCTTACCACTTTCTACTGAAAGATCGAATTTAGTCCATTTACCAAACAATGTAATTGATAGGAGAGCACTGGCTTGGCAAAAGAGTCCACATATTAAGCCTGTCCACAAACCCTGAAGAAAAAAGACCAAGTGTAGAAAGAAATTAGTAAGGAAGAAAATATAAGAATTAAGAATGGATAAAGTCAACAATCATGTAATTTATTGCTAAAGTGCTAAACTTTTAATTTCAGTTATCGAAATTGAATCCCGGACAATCTCAACTAAAAAAAATTAAAATATGAACTTAGCAGAAAAATATTATGCTTTACCTTATCATATAGTTTCAGCATAAATCCAAGAAGCCATGCAATTGGCATACCAATGAAGTAGAAAGCCCCCAAGTTTGCCCACACAGCTAAGTGCTGCGAACCACATCCTCTGGCCACAGCTGCAACATCAAATCAAGTCATTGGCCTTATCAACTTAATTGTAAAGAAATTTTGAATTGATAGTTCAAACTTTAATTAGATTGATTAACCTGATAAAATGCCTTGAAAAGAATCAAATGTTATTGAGATGACTAGCAGGGGTATCATTGAGGCAAATTGCTTTACTATTATGGAACTGTTACTGAAGAAACTGGCCCAAACATTGTGACCAAAGGCTAAAGAAAGGACAACTGCAAGAGTAAGAATGGTGGAGAGCTTGAGTGTGACAATCATGGCACTTTTGGCTCTGTCAGGATTCCCAGCTCCCAATTCATTAGCAACCCTTGTGCTGTCAAATAAGTTGATTAATTTCCCTGTCTCAATATATATCTATAAAAGTAGATAGATTTAAAACTCAATGGGAGAAGATATTTTTCAAACTAACCTTGCTGCAGCACTAAGGCCACATGTAAACATGAAGGCAATAGCTTCTGTATTCACACTACAGATAATGGGAAAAAAAAGACTCTCATTGTCAAGCTTAATAAGGAGAAATGGCAAAAAAACAAAAAACAAAAAAAGAGCAAAAATTACCACATTGCAATCAAGGAAGTGGATACGTTTGGATTTGGCAACAATCCTGCTAACAACACGAGAAGTTCGGAAGCCCAATCCTCAAGACTAGAAAAAAGTTGAAAAACAAGTTACTTTCTACTAATAATTTTGTTTCCACAAATGGATTTTGTTGTTGATGTTGTAAAAATCAAGCATACAGAAGAGAGATTAAGGCTCCCTTTAGTAGATGTTTTTGCTGTTTCGTACTTTTTGCTATTCTTCTTGGTACAAGATTTGAATACAACCATTAGAATTAAGAGTTTAGCAGCCTACCAACAAACCACGCCACTGATGGCAGCTCTTTTCTTTTTCTTTTTCTTCTTTTTGTTTTTTCTTAGAAAAAAATATCTACTAAACAGGGCCCAAATGTTCAAAATTTGAAAATCTCACCAAAACATTGCAGCAGAAGGGAGGGCTACTTTGAGGTTTGTGAGAATGTAACGAAATGATTCAGATGATAATCCTTCCCATGTCTGCTTCAATTTCTTCGTACAAACGACATACACAGCCAACAAAAGGAATGATATCCATAACGAAATTGAAGCAGCCAATGAAGCTCCCTTGAAACCAAGACTTGTCCAATTAACCAAACTGTAGACAATCCCGAAATGGATTCCCAGGGGGAGAATTGAGAACCAGATGAGGGGCTCCACAATGCTTTGTGTCTGAAGAAACCTCAAAATGTTTTGCACAAAACCATATGCAAATAAACCTGGAATCAGATGCTTCATGTACAGGGCAGCTGTTTTGGAAATTTGAGGATCTTGGTGAAGCAAGACAAAAATTGGCTCAGTGTAGATCCATAAGATTGATATAATACCAGAGAAAAAGCAAGAAATTATGCAGGATGCTTGTAGATGAAGTCCCAACATTCTGTATAATTTTTCACCAAATCGTTGACCACAAAGTGTCTCTAGTGCTCCACTTAATCCGATCTAAACCATAAATAGAGAAAAAGATCACAAACTCAATTACCAAGATTCCAATTTGGTTAAACAAATTAAACCATTGATCTAGAATGAAGCATCATTATTTAAAAGTTTGCATAATGCTACAAAAAAAAAAAATTATCATAAGGAGTCCGGTTAGAGAAAACATTCACCATTGAATCAAATACTCAAGTATTAATATTAAAAAAAAAAAAAACTAAGGTGTTAAAACTATATTTTAAAGTGACTAGAGTTTGAAAGTAGTTGAAACCGCAAATGCATTACATTTTCAATTTTACTTATTCAAAATAAAAGTTCATTTTTTATACATTAACAATAAAATCTTTTAATTTCATAAATGAAATAAAAAAATTATCACATGTTTTATTTTTTAAATTAGTTTTTATTTCTTTAAACAATTTTTTTATTGTAATTAAATTAATTCTGAAAAATAAATTCTAAAAAATAATTTTTGAAAAATATTTACATTTTTCGAAAACCATTTTTTTTTTGCAAAACAAGTAGAGTCTAAATTCCACTAAATTAATTTTAAAATGTTGATTAATTTTATAATATTTCATGAATGATAATGTGAAAAAATTGCCATTAGTTGTATATTTAAAAGTTGTATGATTATCAAATATATAAGTTTTATTTATTTTTTATATATAAAAAATTTTAAAACTTTTATGGGAGAAGAGAATTTAAGGGGATATTATGATCTTTAAGAAAGTGATCCAACACTCTCTCAAAGCTAATCTTTGCTAACTACACACTTATTTATTTCCCTTTCACTGCCTCTTCGAGCGATCAAAATCAGCTGGTAGGCCAGCTTTCTAGCTTGGTAGGAATCTTGTAGGTACAAAATTATATTCCACCTTTGTTTTGCTTTCAAATCCTTTGCATTTTTTCTGAGAAGTTACGGAGTGGTTAGATATTATTTATTATTTATTTTTATTTAAAATTTTATAGAACAAAATATAAAAAGAAAGATAACGGTGAACTTTTTTTTTTTATGGTACATGGTGCTATGCCAAAGGGCTTCATCAATTCGATATTCATGAAAAAGAAGGCATAATTACATCATAAATTATTCGTGAGATAATAATTTAACAAGATATAATAATTTATTTATTTATTTTCGTATATAAAAATTTTATTAATTATAAAAAATTATAAATCATCATTAAATTAAATAATATTCATAATTAATATTCATAAATGCTTTGATTTTATTTTAGTTTTATTGAATATTTTTAATTTAAATAAATATTTATATATATATATATATATATCATTAACTTTCTCATTCATCTTTAATTATATAAAATATCAAATATTCAAACATATATACATATAGGTTTATCAATCTTCTTTAATCTATAAAATGTTTATTCCGTAAAATTAAACAAAATTTTTTTTATTTTTCTCTAATACCTAATGACTCTTATTATTTATAAGTGTTGTCTTATAAAAATATTTTTTCTCTTAAAATTTTTATCCTACAAAATTTTTTCATCAAATAAAAATTTCAAACAAATCTCTTATCAAGAATTTAAGTCAATGTTTCAATAAAAAGATTATAATCTTGAGATAAAAAAAGATATTACAATTATTAAAATTAAAATCTAACCATAATTATTAAAGTTAAAATTTCAATGATGTCTTAGCTGACTTACAAACTAACCATAACAATATCGAGTTTAAACGGTGAAGGTTTTTCCGAACAAGACAAAATCCTGTCTAGGGTTTATTTACGCTCTTCTTATTTTCCATTCCCTAGCCCATTTTCCTCTTTGAAAAGGAGTACCAAATTGTAAAACTATATTTTCAAAACAAAACGAAGAAACAATGATATTTATATGATGATTATGGAGATGGAAAAGACTTACCATGAAAGCGAAACCGGTGACACAGGCCCAAGAATTGGCAAGAGTGGCACCGGCAAGCTCATGCTCACCATGGTGACCGGCAAACATGACAGACACCAAAGTAATAGATGAATATGAAACATTGGAAAGAATCATTGGTAATGACAAGAAAACTTGATTGTTAGCCTCTTCCAAATCCAAAACTCTCCTCCACAACCTTCCTTTTGTTTCTTCATTCCCATGGTTGTACCCAGACAATAGTGCAACCCTGTCGAGACTTGTGCTTGATGGCATTTTTTTTTTCTCTTCTTTGGGTGTTTGAGAAGAGGAAGAGAAACTTTTATCAGCTTACGATTTTCCACTTCTACCAAATATATAAATGCTTTGTCTGCTAACATATGGAAATTTTGACTATAAAAATTAAGCACCGAAAAATCAAATACACTTGCATTAAAAATTATGTTCAACGTGATTGAATTAATATCTAGGCCAAAAACATTAAAAAGAAGGAAATATGCAAGATGTAAGCTACTATTTTTTATTCCTTTACCAAGGAGAATTACTCAATTGGATATTGTTATTTATATAAAAATTATTTAATATTTGGTAATTTTTTAATTGGTTAAGAGACTAACATATATCACACTTTTTTTTTTTTGTTTTTAATATATTATAAGAGATATATCACTCTATTAACCTATTTAAGGTGTAAGAATTTCGCTTACAGTATATTTAATAATTTTTTTTATTTTATATAGCAATCTTCGCAAGTCAATTAAAGTATGAGTTAATTTTGATACATTGACAATACATGAATGTTATATATTGTCAATCAACTATATGAAGACATTTCATTAATAAGTAAAATAAAAAAAATAATAAGGTCTTTAAAAATAAAGTTTTTTTTTTTCAAGACCTAATAATTAACTCAATAATAATATATATAAATAATATAAACAAAAAATATGAAAATAATAAATTTAAAATTTTAATAAAAATCATATATAAATTTAACAAAATTAAAAAATTATATTTTATATTTTTATCTTAACATAATTTATGATACATAATTTTGATATAAAATAAATATAAATAAATCATTTTTCCCTTTCATGAAAAGAAATTAGGAAAAACAAATGCCAAGGTTATCCAATTCAATTCCAAGTGTCAACCATCTGTTGCATTATATAGGATAACATTATCATTTGCACCAATTCGGAGTGCCACGTTTTTGTCGTGCTAATAATGTTGCATCATTGCTTATGTGTTTCATTGACTGTACAAAGTGACGAGAGACCACGATTGGACAACACTAATTGTCATAACTTGTAAATTCATTAATTTATCGTTAAATATGAGTAAAAAAAAATTATTATTAATTTTTTTTATTTAAATGTAATTAATTATATGATTGAGTTAGATTTACAAAATAAATGTTAAGTTTGAAAATCAATTATGTATGAAAAAAATTGTAACATCTATCAAAAGATAATATCAATTTGATTTCAAATTATTTAAACTTTGATAATTTTTTATGATTTTATTAAATAATTTAATATTAAAAATTAACCTTAAAATTATTTCAATAATTTGGTAATAATTTTAAAATAATTCTTTCACTTCAAGAGTATTCATAAAAATTAGTATCTCACTTTGAAAAGATTTCATTGTCGGATTTATAGATTTTATTTAAAAAAAAATCAGTGAAAGCTTCTAATAGTTTAGTAGGATCTACTTTAAAACAATCTTATGATAGTTTAAAGGATAAAAAATTAATTTTATTTATTTAAAATTTTTTTATTGAAAATATTTTTTAATTATTTTTTCCTTTTTTTTAGAATTATCAATTTTTTTCTCTTTTTTTCATCTTTTTATTTTTTATTTTCTTTTTTTTGGAAATAAAAGTGGCAGAAATAATTTTTCTTTTTTTTAAGGAAAATAAAACCATAAAAATAATAAAAATAGGTTAAAATAAAATAAAATAAAATTTAAAAATAAAAAAATGAAAAAGAGAAAATCTGCAATCGGGTCGGATCAGAGCGCTGGTCAACATTCAGGTTGTCAGGTCTACGCGCGGATCCTGGCTTATCCGAAACGACGTCATTCAGCAGTGGTATAAAAACTATCCTTTAACGTTTTTCCTCAAAACCCACCGAGTTCTTCTCTCTCCACCCTCTGTTTCCTCTGCCCTCTCTTTAAAAATACCCATCGAAAACTTTAATAGAAGATCGAAATTCCATCGATTTCTAAAATAGTTGTAAAAAAATTTAACCGAGACTTGTCCATTTCTGAAAATGTTATTAGAATCTCGTCAAAATCTTGCCAAAAACTTCAAACGATCATCGAAAAATTTATGTTCTTCCCCATAACCTAGAAAAACTCAGATTTATTCGAATCTTTCCTAGATTTCTTCAAATTTCGCTCAGAACCTCTTAAAATTGTCCTGAGCCCTAATCCTAACCCAAAAACCTAAAAATGATCTCACAATCCCAAATTGAACTTCAAAATCCAAAATTGAACTGCCATAACCTTTTTGTCCAGTATTTCCCAAATTTTTCATAATTTTTTCTCCTAATTTTTTTTTGTGTTTTTTTTCGTGTCTTTGTTTTATAAAATTGGTCTAATTTATAAACAATCTAAGATCAGTTTAAAAAAATAGACAGAATTAATCTTAGGCTTAAATCATGATATTAATTTCTGTCATGATGGGATTTTAGATCCTAAGATTTTAGCAATCTCATGCTGATATGATTTGATATTAAAATTTTAACCAAACAAGATTCCGATCCCAATTCTATGTTTTTGTTTACGTGTGGATTAAAACCAAAAAAAAATAATAACAAAGAAAAAACATAAAAATAAATAATAATAATAATAAATAAGCTATCCACTTAGCTTGGACTTGAATTGGCCTAAATGGGCCCGAACATTGATGGGTCTAATTGGGACCGGACCTCAATGGATCAATCGGGCTCGAACCTCAATGGGTCAACTGAGCTCGGATCTCAATGGGCCAATCGGGTCCAAACACAAATGAATGTCTACACTAATAAAGGTTTTTTATTTAATTGGAATACAACACGAAGTGCTGCAATTTTTTTTTTTCATATATAGAAGTTGAAAGGCTATAATTCAAATGTTTTTTCCATGATTCAGATTTGCATTGTTAATTTATAATTTAAATGCTATTTGCTAATTAAAAAATAATAAAATCTCTAGGCACTAATATACGAAAAAATCATTTTAAATCTAAATAGATTTCATTGCAATCCTTTTATCTAGATTAAGTAACTTGAATTTTTTATTGACCCAATTAAATAGTTGATATTACATTGTTTTAAATTATACCCAAAAGAAAAAAATACCATTTCTTTAAATTCATATTTTGAAATTCACTCTTTTTATAAGCTAAAAATAATTGAAAGTGTTAGCTGCCCAAGACTCTACCAGATGAAACAAGACTTCATGCTATTATAGACTACAATTGCATGAAATTTATCAAATAAATATAAGCATAATAAAACTAAATAAATAATAATAATAATAACTCTTATTGCTATTCTATGGGGTGGTTGTGACACGAAAAATAAATTGGGTAAGGTTAGCTGGAAAGCTATTTGTAAACCGAAGACGGCTGGAGGTCTTGGAATCTGCAACCTCGAGCTCAAAAATAAAGCTTTGTTGGCCAAGTGGTGGTGGAGATATTCTAACGAACAGAATTCTCTATGGAGGATAGTTGTCATGGCAAAATATGGGGATAATATTCAGGGATGGTTACCATGTGCCAAAAATCATAAATATATGTCAAGGGTCTGTCTGGAGGTACCTAATAAGTTTGGAGTAGGAAAATTTTTGTACTAAGTTTTTAGGACCGAAAAGTTGCGGATGAGGAGACATTGTTATCGGAATCCTCGCGGTGGTCGAACCCAGTGAAGTGGGTCCCGTCTAGTTCCAGAAGACTATGCAGGCATCTCTCCTGCTGGTCCCCTCCTAGTGTAGGTGAAATAAAGTTTAATGTTGACGGATCGGTGAGGCAGTCCTGGCTTAGCAGGTTGTGGGCGTGTTGACAGACTCCAATGCTAAGGTGCTGGGGATGTTTTCTGCTCCACTAGATGTGCAGATTCTTGACATGGCAGGGGCGTTGGCAGTCAAGATAAAGGCGTTCAACTGGTGTATAGAGGAGGATAAAAGGCCTTGGAAGGTTTGGTCTCTTTTGTTGAAAATTGATGCTTTAACAAATTCTGTCACGTATCGATTCAGGATTCAATTATTAAATGTGAAAATCAAGAGTCATTATCATTTTTTTGTGAGATATGATTGATCACCGAATTAAAATTGTATTCTAAAAAAAATTTTAAATTTAACTAAAGTTTTATAAAAAAATTAAATTTTTATTTACATTGCAAAATAAATTTAAAGAATACAGTTACGTGTGAAAAAATATTAAAGATAATATCAATTAATTTTGTATTATTTTAAAATGATCATAATTAAATAATTTTTTATTCTAAATTAAATTTAATTATTTAAATATTAAAAAATTTTGTATGATTTTTCAATTATTCTAAAAAAATTCCTAAAACAATTTCTTTCACCTCAAAAGTATTAAAAAAAATCCATTCATTTCTTTGAAGATTTGTCGTTGAATTTATTAAAACTTTATTTAAAATGTTTCTTGTAAAAATTTTTTAGTTCTTTTTCACTGTTTATTGTAAATCTATCTAAAGTTTTCATTATTTTGATAAAATTTAGACAAATTAGGTTTCTATAAATTCTTGAGAAAACCATTTTTTCGTAATTTTCTTTAGAATCCCATTGTTAATTAATGATTTTTTTTATTCTTATGATTTATTAAAATCTTATAAAAGTGAAATTTAATTAATCAACATTTATTATTTTCATATTTCTATTATTTGACAATAAATGTAACTATCAGTGTTAGAATTCTTTTCTTTAAATTTTTATCATTTTAATAAAATTTGGACGGATTTTCATGCGCAGGAACTTTTTATAAAGAAATCGTTCTTTCATGATTTCTTATAATTTCATGATTAAGGCAATTTTCATTATTTCCAAGCTTAAAAAGTATCTATTATTATTTGTTAATTTCTTAATTATTCTTTTTTTTTTCTTATCCTTTACTACTATTTTATTTTATGACCTTTGATATCAAATTTTATTCCTTTTTATTTTTTTTTGAATTTTCATCATTTTTGAACAAATTCAAAAAAAAAATTCTTCTCTAGAAAATTGCATGCTCTTAATTCATCTAGAATTTATCATTGATTTCAATCTACATTTATCCTT